AACGTACTTCAAACTCCGAGAAACTATAAACTTGACCTAATATATATTTGGCGGCTCACCCGGAAGGGAGCTCTTATTTGCAGCTGTTATTGCCCACCGCGTTGAACTGAACTTGATACGATCAGTTATGCCTATCAAATGATCCACCATTATAAATCCTATTACCCAATTCAAAATCACATATACTGCAGCCGACTTATCAAGAGTTACTAACGCCCAACGTGGGAGACGAAATCACGACTTTCGAAGTCGCATACTCTGATGAGGGAATGTCAGGATCGTGGAACCGTGTCAATGTTCGGCCTCAATACCTTGCCAATGCCACAATCCACTTCGTACATCAAGTAGGTGAATGTAGAAGCCCCCAAGCACATGGGAGGTTCAAGGCCTACGGCTGAAAGGTCCCCAGGTCAGAGCAAAATCTTTAGCGTTGAGTAAAATTCAAGGAGAGGGTTATTCCCTTCCCGGGCACTGCAGCCTCTTAGCCTAGATGTAACTTGCTCCTCGAATTTGCAGTATCCACTCCAGCAGTCTAGTGTTCTGTACCAGTTGGTACTGTTTTCTAGCCGGTACTGTTCTAAACTCCCTCTGTTCTAGTTTTGGTTTCCCGAAGAGTTAATGTCTTTTGTGATCCAGCGCCTCGCACTTACATAAGGCATGTACGGCTGATTCTGTTCCTCTTCCTGTTTGTCTGTCTGCTGCTGAGGTCTCCATCGTAGAGCCCAATTTGGCGCAGGTGTTCTGTCAGGCCGTTGTAGCCGGTTAGTAGGCCTGTTGTTGATTTCTACACATGGAGGGGAAGGGGTACCCAGACATTTTATTTTGCATTTCGTTTTATTTTTAGACATTTGGCTCCCCATCAGGCCGAGGCCCTAGGTACATGCTTCCTGTGCCCATAGGATAAAACGGAAAAGATCTGACCTATATTCGCCATATTTGGTGCATCGCAATAAAGTGATGCCCAACATGGGGCATATAATTTCAATCCTATGATCTATTCACTGAAACATGTCCCGTAATGAATCATGATTTAAAAATAGTAAATAGCTCGACCAACACGAAACGGTAATGAATCTTGATCACCCGTCTCTCATTCAGTATATTAAACGTATCGCAATATATTGTCGCACAATGTGGGATATCACATTACGACCCTATGAATCTCTTATACTCTACAGCGTGACACTTTCCGTGTTTTATGAGGCACAGTCTGTGTAGTTGTGAAGTAAAACTAATAAATAGCGCCATTTGTCCGAAATACAAATACTGATGGATCCAGACCACTCAACTCATGATCATTAGGCGCATCGTAATACAGGAAAAACCAAATTTGTCCGACTACTTGTTAAATTTGTACGAGAGAGAAGCGCGAGAAGTGTTAGAGATAGAAGCCGTCTGAAAAGCAATACAAATTACACTGATCAACAGCCAAAAAATATCCTAAATAAAATCAACAAAATATTACTATTTTTAATGTGCTAAAACCGGAATGAAACTTATTTTTTCAATATTAGTTCAAGTTTTAGAAATACGGTAATTATATGTGTTCCTGCTGTGACAGTGTTAATATGCTGTAATTCACAAGAATGCACGTGCTACATTTTTATATTCGGCAAGGAAAGATGATGTAATCGGCATGATTGTGTTACGTTATACATACGTGTACATTATATTGTTTTATATTAGCCATTTTTTCCTTAGTTGGCTGACAGCGTTCATGCAAGATGTCTCGAAAGTGTGTAAACAATCCAGATCAGTTTTGTTACGTGTGTGGTGATGTGACTTTTGCGTCTCAGAGACGGTCTATTACTCCACTAATAACAAAGGCATATCAGCTTTATTTCGGTTGTAAACTAGGTGATCAAGACAAACAGTGGGCACCCCACATCTGCTGTAATACATGTGCGTCAAGTCTGAGGAGCTGGTTAAATGGCAAAAAACGGTCTATGCGCTTTGCTGTCCCAATGGTTTGGAGAGAGCCTACAAATCATATTAATGATTGTTACTTTTGCATGGTACCTTGTGTTGGACAAGCCACAGGTATGTCCAAGAAAAAAAAATCGGTTAACTACCCAAACATACCATCTGCGATGAGACCTGTGCCTCACAGTGACGAAAATCCTATTCCAAAACCCCCAGAATCCTACACTTGCGAATCAGAAAACGAATCAGATCATGGCGATCGAGTGATTCGTCAGGAAGAAGATATGCCATCAACGTCAAGAGATCCTGATTTTATACCGAGCACGTCATGGCACCAACCGCACAAAATAACACAGTCAGAATTAAATGATCTTGTAAGAGATTTAGAACTTCCAAAATGTAAGGCAGAGTTACTTGGATCAAGACTGCAGCAGTGGAACTTGTTAGAAGACGATGTTTCGGTATGTGTTTTTCGTAAACGCCACAAAGACTTAGAACCATTTTTCAATATGGAGAATAACTTGGTTTTCTGCAGTAACATTAACGGCTTACTGGCGGCTTTAAATATAAACTATAACCCAGAAGAATGGAGATTGTTTATAGACAGTTCAACATTGAGTTTAAAGGCAGTGTTATTGCATATTGGAAATATTTTACCATCTCTTCCTGTAGGGTATGCAGTTCACATGAAAGAATCATATGACAATATGAAGTACTTATTAACATGCATAAAATACGATGAGCACCAATGGCATATTTGTGGCGATTTCAAAGTTGTTGCACTTTTACTTGGGCTGCAGCTAGGCTACACAAAGTTTTGCTGTTTTTTGTGTGAATGGGACAGTCGGGCAAAGGCACTTCATTACACCAGACAAAACTCGCCTGTTCGCCAATTCCTAGAGCCAGGTCAAAAAAATGTACAGCATATGCCATTAGTAGATTCGAAAAAAATTTTATTACCACCACTGCATATCAAATTGGGCCTAATGAAAAACTTTGTCAAGGCATTAGATAGAGATGGGTCAGCTTTTCAATACCTGCGTCAGAAATTTCCAAGACTATGTGAGGCAAAGGTTAAAGAAGGTATTTTTGGTGGGCCACAGATTCGAAATATTTTGAAAGATACACAGTTTGAAAACACTTTAACAGGTATTGAAAAAACTGCTTGGAATGATTTCCGTCTGGTGGTCACTAATTTCTTGGGAAATAGAAAAGCTGACAACTATAAAACCTTTGTCAAAAATATGCTGTCATCGTATCAAAAGATGGGCTGTAATATTTCTCTTAAGATATATTTCCTACACTCACACCTGGACTTTTTTCCTGACAATTGCGGAGCCGTAAGTGATGAGCATGGCGAACGTTTTCATCAGGATATTTCAACAATGGAAAAAGGTACCAGGGAAAGTGGAATCCTTCCATGCTTGCAGACTACTGTTGGACTCTTGGTAGAGATGCTCCAGGAACGATCCATAAAAGAACAGCAAAAAGACAGCGCATATAGTGATTCTTATAAGTATATGAATCTTGTTACTTTTTTTAATATATCCTTAAAAATAAAAAGTTTTTTTTCTAAACCGCAACTAATTTTTTTATTTCATTGTCATTTTTGGATTTAGCGCCCCAAAATTAACAAAGAAGTGCACTTTTCCCACAAGATACAATTAAAAAACCAAAATTTGTTGTCCAGTGTTATCACTGCGTCCGTGTACGCTATTGAAAAGCATTTCAAAGCAGGACGCCACTTCCCAATCATCGCTAGATGGGTACTGAAACCGCTCATCTATGATCACGGAGGTGGAAACCTTGTATTGGAATGTATCAGTTGCGGTGTTGCAAATCGAACCATAGATGCAATATTGCAGAATTTGTAGCAATATTGACCTTTCATTTCGACCTACAATGAAGCGCCGTTAGCACCGATCCGGGATCGATCCTAAACAGATCCGACACAATTCACAATTCAAAAATGTGTACGCTCAAAATAAAACCATTATTTGGGCGTAGGGAATAAACTTATGCATATTTTCAACATGCATCTTAATTTAAGAAACTGGTGTAACTATTGGCAACGCGTCAGATTGCAGGGCGTGAGTGTTGCTAGGCAACGCGATTATGAGCTTCGCTATCCAGCCGGATTCTATCCCTTTCTAACATATGTGCTTATACGTCTCTCTCGTACACATTGAACTCAAGCCGTCAGACAAATCTGGTTTTCAGTGTATAGTGGCGCCCAACGTGGAGAACGAAATCACTTAAGCCTGTGAATGCTCTGCGTACTTATACTTTCCGTGTTTTGTGAAGTGAAATTGATAAATTAAAAACTAATAGCGGGATTCCCGCGAAAAAATTATGGATTTTGATCAACCAACTCCTATAACCTATATTTGGCATAGGTCAATCGCATTATAGTGGCGATCCTACGAATCTTGGGCAACAAATAGCTCTAAAGAACATGATCTTGAATTAATGTTAATAATCAACAAATAGATATCGGTGTATACTATGCATCGTATTAGTAGCATCAAAGTTCAACATAAAGTCGTGACTCTGAAATTCAAGGTCTGCATTGAGGGAGCATGAGACTCTCAGCGTCGTGATTTCCTCCACGTTGGGCGTCATTCATCAAGGGCAGATGTAGGAATCTGTCTGGGCGATGGGCCGCATTTCTCACAATTTTGGTCTAGCTAGGTAATTTTTACACCAATACATAGCAATATAGGTATACCATTTTCATGAAAAAATTGCAGACTTCGGCATCTAGGAGGGCGCGCGCCACCCTCGGTAAGTTGATCTGTCTGCTTATAACTCACATTGTCACTGGCACGCAACGTGAAAGATTCTAATGATTCTAAGCTTTAGTCGGCCCCACATTGGGCGCCACTAATAGAATGCACTCGATGCGTTTGACAAGAAGCACAGGGTATTCTTTGTACCTAATTCACTCAGACAGTTGTAGTGGTTACGCTGCAATAAAGTACCGACCTACCACAACGCTGCCCTCAATGCAACCATTGTTTCGACTATAAGCATCAATGTTCGATCAAAGGGAAACCAATGATTTTCTTTTGTTACAGTATCCCGATTGATGGGCAGCACGGCTGCAGCAGCCAACATGGGCCACCATCCGTCGGGCCTCGGAGCTGCGGCCAGCATGGCGGGCCTGGGAGCGTGCGCTGTTGCCGCTGCTGCGGCTGCAGACGCGGCAGCAGCGCACGGGAAACCCTTGCAGTTTCCCTTGGCGCAGCGCAGAAAGAGGCGGGTGCTCTTCACGCAAGCACAGGTAGGTAGAGGTGGGGGCACGCCCATCTCTCAGAAGTGGGTTACGCCCAACGTGCCGCCGCGTCCCGAGATCAACCGACACGGTAAAATTGACGGGCGAAACGATGCGAGCCGACGGGACTAACTTAGAGCCGGATTTGTTTATACGATTCGGGTGTCAAATTAGATGTAAATGGTGTCCGTAAATTAAGATGTGAGAGTGTAATTGGGATATATCTGATCCACCAAGGTAATCAGTTTTATGATATCTGTTCTTCGGGACCCAGTATTTGAGTTTTAAATTTCATACCTTCGTTATTTTATTAATTTAATGTTTTTCGATTTTGAAAAACTGAATTATATTTCAATTCGCTTCTCTATTCATCTGTACTACTTACATAAAATAAATACCACTCCAGCCATCTAATGAGCATATCTTAGAAAAATGTATGTCTTTGGCCACGGAAAATGATTTTTGGCTAATAAAGAGAAAGTGGACTTCAATGACCATGTGTCATGCATACAGGCAAACACAGAATATTAAGAGGTATAACTTCATATTGCTGATAGAAATACAACGTTTGTTAGTAATATTAGCAATAACAGACAATATCGCTGGCGTAAAAAATACTTATTATTATATCAATATTACTAATAATACCATTACTTGATTACAACACTGTTTGACATAAACGTCATAAACTCACATATACCTACCTACGCAGTGACAAAGGAAATAGAACACCTATAAATACTGATTTTGTATACCTACCTACAGTAAGGCAAGGGCAAGATAAAGGTTAAATTCTACACTGAAAACATTTGATGTTTCTTTGGGTTTTCCTAATAACGCCAACGATTTCGCCTTGTATATGGTATAACTGTATACAAAATTTCATTAAAATAAAATTATGTTTACTATGTTTTATTTTCATCGTCACTGAATATAAATTAATTGCAAATTCTCTTTTAACCATGTTTTGTAAAATATTTTCATGAGAGTGCCAGAATTACGTACTTATTTTAACTTACATTGTCTAAAATATTGGTTCTGTTACAGGTCTACGAGCTCGAAAGGCGGTTTAAACAACAAAAGTACCTGTCTGCACCAGAACGAGAGCATCTAGCATCATTAATACATTTAACACCAACACAAGTGAGTATAAGCATGTTTTTGGTTACTTAAAAGAAAATGCCCAATTTCGGCAACATTGGTTTTGTCATCCAGCTAAACATACTCAAGTGAATATAGAAAAATATGATGTATCTAAGATCAATAGTGGATAAGAAAAGCATAGAGTGTGTTCGAAAACGAGGATGAAATACCTATCATTTAGTAGGTATGGTATGAATTACTAGGGTGTGATCTAGATGTGGGGTAAAACTTGACCAAGTGCTATATATGTTCCTTAGGATGGTCTTAAATTAATAACCTTGCGCGTGACCACAACAGCTCTACTGAAAAAAGACAATGGCGACTGTTTTTACAGAAAAAATTGTGATACCAACCCGTATTCCTTGTAAGGAGTATAGGATGAAAAGCACACAGTACACAATTATCTACAACTCTCTATATATTGTTAGCGACAAGTCAATTAAATTTTATTATTGAACCGTTTACTTAGATTGAGTACACCAACGTACTTAAAATTAATGAACTAATAAAATGAGTTTACCTGCTCCAAGTAAAGCAATCTAATTACACTTATTAAATTTTTTAAATTATTATTTAGACGTATAAATAAATTCGCCATCACGTTAGACAAACTAAGATATTTTCAGATACTACTAAGTATGACCTGCAGGATGCTCCAGTTCATATAGGCAATGAAAAAGAAAAGCACATCAGTCCTAGGTGTATGTTATTTAGAAATGTATAATTCGTAATTCTAACTTATCCAAAATAGGGTAGATGAGACGAGATCCGAGTGGTAACTACATGTAACTTTCATGACCTATTTTGCTGAAAACTGTTTTTGTCAAATACATTCATTGTCATTGTCTGGAATAATCAATTTGAGAACTGAAAAAATATAGAAAATCTTCCAACAGAAAGGCATGTCCAGATTTCTATTTTATCTCACAAACATGAATCGTTTTAGGATCAATGATGACATTTTTTTGTAATTGAATGGCTCCAATCCAATTGTTGCAGGATTTGGGTTTAACAACATTTCTTATTGAATATGGGTGCATGATGATAGCACGCTCACCTCACTTCAGTTTGCTCAGTTTATTGTACGTTTCACCTAAACTCGGTTTGAATAAGGTGGGATTTCCTTGTCTCCCCTTACCCCAACTGCATTACCAACAGACCAACCTCAGTTGAGAGATTTACCTTTTCTTCCAGCTTTTAGGTTAAGTTTATTCTGCTTGTGTACAAAATGATCCAAATACAAATGGTCACAGACCACAACTAACAATAAACGGAACAAGGAACAATTTGAATCTGAAACTTAAGATTCGCTTTTGATCCGACATATGATCATAGGGGAATATTTGCATCTTTGTCAAGCCTCAGTTGATCCCAGATGAGATAGATTTCACCATCGAGATCAACGCGTATCGTCCAGTGTCTACCATATGATGGTTCCCTTATTGTCCAGTGTGTGCGCGGCGATCGATTCAGTCACCCGCACTACGCACTTCGCTCCGGCGCATAAACTTCATTTAATTTTAGCGAACTCACAAGTGAAACAACAGTTGGTACATTAATTTGCAAACCATACTGCGATTCTAATAACTGACAAATATATCCTTGCTTCAAATAAGCTCCAAAAGCATCTAGACGCAGTGGCGTAGCAAGGGGGGCGGCGAGGGCGGTCCGCACCGGGTGTCACCTTTTTGAGGGTGACTCAACTTTAAGAACAATGTACGAACATAAAAAAAATTAAATCGCTAGCACAGCTGTCTTCTTCGGTCATTCCTCCACAAGCACTAGGCTCAGCTCTATGTATAATTCGGGGAATCCCCCAAAATCAGAAAAACGGGTGGTTGGTGATATGGCCAGTGTTGCAGGACTCACACTGAAAAAAGAACTTTAAAAATGTTGGAATGTCTTGACCGATTCAGAGTTGAACTCCAGACAAGATCGAAGTCTCTTCAAGTCCTAGCTTCATTGTTCCAGATCGTACAAACAAAGACTTTGTTTTTGGCAAATACTGAAGAACTGAAATTAGACACATAAAATTCACTAATTTTATGATGAGGTCTCAGAAACAGAATTACTTTTGGAGATACCAAGACAGCGAGGACACTTAAAAACCGCTAATGTTACAGTTTCTGATTAAATATCTCTAGATTTTTTTTAAAGTTTGTTGTAGAATGGGATTTTACAGAATCTTTTCCAAATCTTATGATTTCACTAAAATTATTCATGACGATTCGTAGCTTCACGTGAAAGGAGTTTCAGTAAACTAAAATTAATAAAAAACTAATTACGGGCAACAATGACCCAACCGCGGCTTAGCAATCTTGGTATACAGGTATTAGCCACCGAACACGAGGCAATACAAAATATAAATTTTGATCAAGTTATTTCTGAGTTTGCAGCTGTCAAAGCTAAAAAGAAGAGATTTTAATTGTAAGATAATAATATGTTTTCTGTCTTAGTTTTTAATGGGTTTTGTTATTTGTTTAATATTTTAAATATAAATATTAAATGTTCCATGACGTTTATAAATCATATAAAGTGTATTGCTTTTGATTTTCGATGAGGTGACACCACCAACTTCCGCACCGGGTGCTGCCCAAGGAAGCTACGCCACTGTCTAGACGATATAGATAATGGAAGATCAAGGTTAACAAAGTCTACCCTCCCTATAGGACAATGCCCCTCAGTATCCTTGAATCAACTCACCATACCTCAACATAGAAAAGTGTAAGTATATATCAGATCGGACATGAATGACAAGCTGAACTGGAAACAACATTTATCCAAGAAAAGAAAACAAATGTATTCAAAAAATATGGAACTAAATTGGCTCATGGGCTCAAAACTCAGCCTAGCAGAACAAATTATTAATTTATAAAGCCGTTATCAAGCCCGTTTCAACATACGGAATAGAGCTCTGGGGACAAACATTTGGATTATCCAACGAGTCCAATCAAAGATTCTTAGAGGCATTGCAGACGCACCCTGGTATGTCTCAAATAAAACACTCCATAGAGATCTGAAAATCACATTAGTCAGGGAAATCATCATGGAAATAATTTGCAAGCACCGTGCTAGACTTAGCAATCATCCAGAGACTGAAAAGTAAATGGCCACAAGAATCGCAAGCCTGAGGTGGCGTTGCTGGATGTCTACTACTTCCCATCATTGAGTGTATGTACAAGCATGTAAAATATTGTATCAGTCAACTTACAGAATTCTGATCGCTAATAAAGTAGAGGAAAAAGCGAAGTATATCGAGTACTACCAGTCCAATTTGGTCTGCCATTTTTGTTTAACTTTCCTCCTTTCTACCCCACGTATAAATACACAGTAGGGTTGGGAAGGATCGCAATCGCTGCTGTTGGCTTCCCAGCATCGAGCACTCAAAATAATCGTGGAACAAGCAACGGCAGGCACGTTTCCCTTTCTGCCACCCTCCCCCTCCCACCGAGCCATAATTTAATCATGATTCGGGTCTCTAATTAAATTGTCATTAATTGGCAAAATGGCAAACGAGGACCATGATGTCGCTTCGAGGCCTAAACGTCACCAGAGCAGGTTTAATTGGAATTATAGGCTGATGCAGCTTAGTGTGTTCTAATATAACTACCCTATGGGGATATGAATTGAATTTTAATTTGTGTTTCTAATATTTGAAAAGAACTTCTTAGACAGCCGAAACATCTGTCAAGATCCTTCGCTCTGCAAATATGGTTTTGTTTTGCTGAAATAAAACTCATGGTAAGATGCTATATTAGTGCGGATATGTCACTACCCCGCTCCAAAGGGAAATTTTGACTAACGCCCCGTGAATTATATAGTTTACAGTAAGTACGTTCCAACGACAGCTTAGGAGCGGTTCCAATTGAACCTACGCAAAATCTCTGACAAAACCATTTTAGTCACACCTCAATAAGGACTATCCCTGCTAGTAGGTCTCTTCGTAGTCCATAAGCAGAACGTCCATTCTTTCCTATGCAACGACATAGTCAGTTGTTAAGTTCAGTACCAGTTAGCCACTCAGAAAAAAGCCAGGAGTTACATTGTTGATTAAATTGTTGAGTGACAGTCGCCTACGCGCATATATTTATAATACATTGCTCAGTCACACAGAAAAGTATATGTTAAAGAAGAAAACAACTTTTTCATCAACAGGATTTCGTTTATTTTGAAATTCACCGTAACATAATGGACATGATGAACGACAATATGAAAAAATTACCAATACAAAGGACCAAACCGTCCTAATCGTCTCTCGATCCTGACAATTCTATTTCAATGAATAGAACAGGGGGAACGCGGAACCGAAGCGGAGGAATGCAAACAAACCAGAAAAATGCAAGATATGCATTATTCCAATACGATTTTTAATAAATCGTCAAAACCAATATTGATTTAAGCAGACCTGGCTGCGCCTTGTGTAAACAGTCCTCGGTGCATTCATAATGCCCATACGCATAGGCGGCGAGTCGGCGCCACGCAGGTTGTCCAAGATTTCAACAGGACGATATTTCCAAGAAGTACCGTAGGTTAACAATGTGCTTAGACGTGAACCCAGGCGCCAAATAACTTTGACGTTAATAGCAAAATTGGAAATTGCCATTTAATATATTAACATAGAGGTTATAATTCGGAAACTTGTGGAGTATCTCAAAAGTCGCCAAGTAATACGATTTCCGGCACCAGCGATCCACAGGGGACCTCCTGCTTACGTCACGCAACTGTGGAGTAAACTTATCTAGTCACGGTGAGGTTCATGCCGTTGCTCTTGATATGACGAAAGCGTTCGATCAGCTTTGCAAATCGGTGGCTGACTTCCCCTCTGGCCGCAAGATATCCGTCGATATCCATCGTAATTGACAGGTTCTCCTCTTCATTCCACAATGTCAACACGGGTGTTTCCCTCGGATCGGTCTTGGCTCCGACATTGTTTCTCTTACGTATCAACAACCGCCTTTCCTGTGCGATGAATCCAATCCACAGCTTTGCTGATAATAGCACTCGACATGCAGGAATTCACAGTGACAAGT